AGGAGCTGACAGCCACATCTTTCTTCCGTAGGAAAACAGCAATACAGCGGCCCGAAAGCCACAGAGCCGCCAGGACTGCTCAAAGTGGACACTCACTCAATACTATCCTTAAGGGTAGCGCACGCAAACGTCAGAGAGTGTCTGATCTTTTGACGACAAGATACAAACTCCTTAATGGCTTTCTTTACCTAAGGTTCTCGTTTTTCCAAGTAAAGAAAGGAAATGCAGTTTAAAATCTTGGCCCCATAAACTAGTTTCAAAACCCCAAGCACAACCAGTGACTTCAAATCCTCTTAAGTTTTTGCCATTAGAGAAATTTTTTTTTCCAAATATTCCACTTTTGATATAATTTATGGATTCCTTCTCTCTTTGTAAGAGAAACACCGGACTTTCCCGTAAAGAGTTCTAGCCTTGGGGGCTGTCCCACAGGGACAGTCTGCGCGTCCTGTAGGGTCGCTGTGAGTCAGCATCCACTCTACGGCACTGACTTTGGTTGTTGTATTGTGGTTTGGCACAATCTTTGTACAAATCAATATACAATACGATCCCTTACCCCTTCGCAAACAGGAGTTGAGGGCATAAATCATGTACAAATATGAAGTAAAATCAATAAAAGGTCCAGGAGAACAGAGTCTCTCTTCATACAAGGAGTGCCTGGTGGGCTTGAACTGCCGACCCTGTAATTACCAGCCCCAACAAGTAAGACACTACACCACCAGCAGCCCCTCCTTCCTAAGTAGACACTCCAAAGAGGCCCACTCATCCAAGGCACCATTGACAAGTCACCATTCACAAGTCACCATGAGACAGCACTGAGCTAATTTTTAAAAATATAAAATTATATTGTTTTCCCTGGAAGTTTACATAGTCAATTAGGTTTTCATTTCAATTAGGTTTAATTTCTATACAACTTGTTCAGTGATGTGTTACATTTTTTCAACCCCCCTATTTTCAAGCAGAAAATAGAAGAAATTAAGAATGGGTTAAAAGGAAAAACAAATGTTAATTTTTATCCCACCTCTATCTGCAATAGTGTACTTGTGATGTACTCTGTCCATGGAGAGGGCTTTTCATATCCCTGATCAATGGTCCAAGGGTATTCAATGGCGGCTTGTTCCCTGTGGGGTCTCTGCAAATGGATTTTGGCCTTTCTCTGTCTTCTGCAACGTTGGCAAACTGCGACCGAGCAAGCATCTGGAAAACAAATTCTCCGAAAATCCCTTTCGAAAACACACTTGTCCCGTGTGTATGCAATTCTGACACTGCATTTCAGACTCTTTTCACGGGAGATCTTACTTAGGGCCCAGTAGTGACACAACTCGGAGTCCTGGGTGGTGCAAACAGTTACATGCAACTACTAGCAGTCCCACGGTGCAGCCGCAGAGTCACCAGGAGTCCAGAAGCCACTGGAGAGCAATGGCTCTGCAGGCTGCAAGCGCCACGGCAGAACAGCAGTGGTCTTCGGGCGACTGTCGCCCCCAACAGCCTCGGAGAACAGCCAAGGGCATGGATGCCAGAATAGCACAGTGACTCGGTGGCGTGCTTCTGCGTGTTTGGACCAGACATAACGTTGAGCACATAAACAGGGAAAGTCACGTGCCAAGGATGACCCCGAGGCAAGACCTTCAAGTGCACTTGCCCCACCCGGCAAGAGATCCTGCTCCCCAAGAGTCCAGCCCTGGATCTGCCCTTCCACCAGCACGATCGTTCTTTCTTCCTCTTTATTTTTTTAAAGAAGGCATAGGCCACTTGAAATGCAGACTCCGGAAAAGAGCACTCACGAGCCATTCACTCTTTCGGCTGTCAACACCTCCTTCTAGCGGTGAGCTTTTGAAGGGCACAGCCTTCAGCAGAGAGAAGGCAGGCCTTGAACCATGAAAGAATCCCATCCCCTTGCAGGCTACAAGTCGGGGCAGGGACGAGACCCCGCCCACCATCTGCCCACGTGACTCGACTTGGCGGGTCTCCTATCTCCTTCTAACTTTGGATGCCGGCTACCTGGGGAGCATCCTCAGGGAGAGCGCTGTCATTAAAAGCTAGAGGGAAACAGACCACACCCAACCCACTGCCATCCAATCAGTGCGACTCAGTCACCCTGAAGGCGGGTGTTCGGCTGCTCCTTCGGGCTTCTGAAATTAAAATCATTAAAGGGAACAGACAGCCTCTTCCAGGAACTGAACCTCTGACCTTATGGTTAGCAATCCAATGCTTAACCCACTGTACCAGCACAACCCATAAACTGGGCGTCTTGCCCTCATGTAGGTCTCTTGGCTGGAGCACTGGTGAGCACACAGACATGCCTTCCGTGCCAGGCCTGCCTGTTCCTCTGGGTTCTGACTCACTCACTCCTGGGCCAAGCAATCCCCCACCCACCATTCCTCTGCGAGAGAGAGACAGTCCTCAGCAGACACTCATTCCTCTAAGAAACCATTCCCACGTTTGGCCACTACGGGGCAGCACTGAGGCAGATTCCGGAAAGCAAATGCTGACTTTAAAAATTACTTTAAAAAAAAACAAAACAACAGACCCGAGGATGTACACTGGTACAGATAGGAAGTGGAAACACAGGGAATCCAGTACAGATGAACCCCTCAGGACCAGTGCTGAGAGTGGCGATACCGGGAGGGTGGGGTGGAAAGGGGGAACAGATTACAAAGATCTACATATAACTTCCACCCTGGGGGATGGACAACAGAAAAGCAGGTGAAGGGAGACGTTGGACAGTGTAAGATATGACAAAATAATAATAATTTATAAATTATCAAGGGTTCATGAGGGAGGGGGGAGCAGGGAGGGGAAGGTGGGAGAGAAATGGGGAACCAATCACAATGATCTACGTATAACCCCCTCCCTGAGGGACGGATACCAGAAAAATGGGTGAAGGAAGATACCAAGGGCTCAAGTAGAAAGAAAATATTTTGAGGATGGCAACAAATGTATAAATGTGCTTGACGACACAATGGATGGATGTATGCATTGTGATAAGAGTTGTATGAGCCCCCAATAAAATGATTTAAAAAAATACGAGGGGAGAGAATCTAGGGGCTTCTTAAACTAATTGTCAACCTATTTCTATTTATTCAACAAACATTTCTATCACCAGATCACTAGGTGACAAGATACTTTTCAGGGCTCTTAAATTCTCTTTCTAGGGCTCTATTAAGAGATCCGAGGGGAACCTCCATAAAAGCTGTAGTAACTTATATTCAAACCGACAACTCATTTCCCCAGTTTTGTAAACATGGCCGTTTATCTTTTAAATCTCCCTTCAAATTTTGAAGGCAGTTATTCGTTCACTTATTAACATGCTCATTCGTCTTTTCAAGCCATTAGCTCCCACTTGTGCTGCTCTGGGCTAGGGGCGCGGTTTGCTCTAACCAGGAGTTAATGCTCCATCCTGGTCTAAAATTTCAGATTCCCGAGGAGACCTGTTAAAAATGCAAGTTCCAGGTTGCAGGAAGTTTATGGGGCATCCAGAAACTTTTGCCAAATTAAAACCATGGGGAACTCGCTGATATGACCTGAACCATTAATGCGTAACATCCAAATCCATTGCTGCTCCCCAAGCTTAAGAAAAGCAACCCTATGGCAGGCACTTCCATTTCCGCAGTTAACAAAACACTGGAACTGTTAAAGAGGTTTTCACAACAAACCCAGACAGTTACCAAACTGAATGCAAGCGTGAAGGAGCCAATGGGCATGCGCAAGATTTAAAAAGCCCCGCATGCGCAGGCCAGGAAACAAATTCGTCACTACTCCCGCCCCTTCCTCTCTGTGAGGACACTGATTGGACAACGGAGTTAAAACGGAAGCGGGGCGCTCAACTCTGTTGAGGCTGGTTTCAGAAGTGGAGATACCACTGCGGCCGCCTGGCCTGACAAGTCCCTGGAGCTTTCCTCCATCTTCGGCATGGGGCGCTGCGGACTTCAGATGAGTGCCCTGTCTCCGCCGTTGGTTCCCTAGTTCAGGAATCCAGAGCCACCAGGGCCCTGCTAGTTTAGCACGTGTACCGTACATATCTGCATAGTAATGACTGGATAGTGCTGCTGGGCTATCTGGCAGGTGTCTGATGGGCATTCAGACATAGACCTGCCCAGTCAGCTATCTAGGCTCTAGTTTCCTCCTATACTTGGCAAACGGTGGGTGTTAGTTTATGGGGGGCTGTGAACCTCAAGGTTAGTTTACCAGCTGCTGCATAGAATGAGCCTGTCACATCAACCCAACAGCACTGCCTTAATCAGATCCTCCATTTCAATACAGATGAGCTCACCAGACAACTCCGAACCTGAACAGGGTGGATACTCAGGAAAGCATTACCCAGAAGACAGTAGAGCCAATGTGGGCTTCAGGTGTGGTATGTAGCAAGCCACTGGGCAGCCGTGGCCCAGGAGGGCAGCACTAAAAGGTCTCCAGGGCCATAGACAGTAAAGGAACACGTACGAACTTTTACTAGATACTGCTTAATTAAGCCTTTGTCCAGAAAGCACCTAGGGGTCCTTCCAAAGTCCAGCTTTCCTCAGTTCTTCCAAACTTTGAAGCCCCTCATGTTCATAATAACCATTCCTTCCTCTTTCTACATGCCTGTAAGCCATGAGATTTTCTAAACGGAATCAATTTCGTACACGCTACCTCGAGTTCTGGCCTCATCTTCATGTAAAAAACCTGAGGACTTAAGTCTACTACCTTATAAGCATCTGTTGACCTTTTAAACGCTAGAGATGCAACCCCCACCCCCACCCCCACAATTTTACCATTAGGCCCAACAGTTTTTAGGCTGCACATGGGAACTACCCACCAGGCTTTCATCAACCTCCCCACCTGTATTCAGTGAAAGCTACCTGGACAAAGCAGGATCCCACAGCCCAGCTCCCACCCAGTGGTGGGATTGTGTAGAATTTCCCACCTGGAGATGGGGACAGGAAAACGCCAACTCATGTCTGGGCAAAGGAAAATTCAGCTTGGTAGATCACACCCCCAAATATCATTAAAGATCACAGAAGCAGAGTTCAGTCTGGTTTATTGAGCACATCACAAAAGAGGGTTTAGTCAAAAAGACCAAAGCCCATGTCATCGTCAGATTCTTCAGACTCTTCCTTCTTGGCTTCCACTTTCTTCTCCTCAGCTGAACAAACAAAGGCAGATGTCAAACACTTATTTTCATTTCCGCAGCCTAAACTCTTAAAGACTGCACCAGGTCTCTCATTTACATGGTCAGAAGTACTGACTTCATCCTGGTCCAGAATGGATTTTACAGATTTCCACACACCATCTCTTTGACTGTCGCCGTTGTTCTCCCATCCACCATTCCTTAAAAACCCAACGCAGTAGCGTCCTACCTGGGGCAGCAGCGGTGGAGGGTGCAGGTCCTCCGGCTGGTGCGGCACCAGCAGCTGGGGCAGGGCCACCAGCCCCTACATTACAGATGAGGCTCCCGATGTTGACGTTGGCCAGGGCCTGTATGAACAGCACATGCACAATAACCCCCCCAGTTGCTTCTCCAGTTAGAATTCTCAATTTGTACACATACACCTGCACTTTAATTTCCCACTTACGGCGATCTCCAACTTCCTTCTCTTATGCTGAAGCCACCTTACGTTATAATTTATCCCCTGTAGACAGCCAATAGCTCTAAAGTAAAGTGGCGTTGCTATGTCAGAATCACCTTGATGGCAGTAAATTAGGTTTTGGAACTCAAGTTGGCCAGAAACTCAAACTAGAACTCTTTCTGGAGTTCCTTTTCCGTGCCTTCGGTGAGAAGTAAATCTTCCAAAGCTAAATCAACGCAAGAAGCTCTTAGGCACTTTCTCTTGTCAGAGCTTAAGTAAACCTTGGGACAGAAGTGATATTCAGTCTTAGCTTACAGTTAAGTGGTGATAAAATTAAACCAAACACTGAGTCTGTGGATTGGAATTGCCGGGTAGCACACACCATCACCATCCCCATGCTGGAAGGACGTGCCTGGTACCCCGTGCATGACCCACTTAGAGAAGGCATTTTATCTGTTAAAGTCGTTTCTGCCCTGGTTTGTAAACAGGAAGGTGGGCAGGCAGAAGAGTTGCAGACCAAGGACTGGACGCAGCAGTGTGACACACGGAACCCTCCACATGTGAGTGGGAAAAACATCCAAGTGGGTTTTCCTGGGTCGCTCACATGGCACATGCGGCCCGGGAAGCTCACGCCCCTCGGGCCACCCGGCCCTCGCAGCGCCCCGCCGCCCGCGGCCCCTTACCTTGGCGAACAGGCCGGGCCAGAAGGGCTCCACGTTGACGCCGGCGGCCTTAATGAGGGCGTTGATCTTGTCCTCCTGCAACATGCGCAACACTTGTTGGCCTGGGAACGCCAGGCCGTTCTCCCCCAAGCGCCCCTAAGGGGTTGTAAGGTCACCTCCGGCGAACGTAAAGCGCGGCGCGGAGTCGCGCCAGCGCAGGCCGAGGAATACAGGGTGCCCGGGGTTTGAACAGCACGCCGGGCGGCAGCGGCGGACGCGGGAACGAAGGCAGGCGCGGCCCTCAACGCAAGCTGGGCGGGCCATCTTTGACCCGCGGCCCGGCCCGCCCCGCGCGGGCGGACACG